TAGGACCTGCCTTACCCTACAGAGTTCTTCATCGACTTGCTTCCATCCTGAGCTGTGGCTGAGAGCAAGGTCGACATAAACGTTAACAACACTCCTCTTGTACCTGTCTGGGCAGTCACTGTTGGCATTGAGGCACATTCGTATGTTTGTTTCCTTAGTGTAGACTGCAGTGTGGAAACCTCCGCTTCTTTCCATGACTGTAACATCTAGAAAGGGCAGCTTCCCATCCTTCTCCATCTCGCAAGTGAAACGCAACACAGAATTCCGCTCAAATGCCCCCATCAGCTGCTGCAGACGTCTGGCATCAAGTACCTGCATAAAAGATATCATATCAGTTTTGTTGAAGATATCATAAAAATATAGGTGAAACGCTATGCCACCTCTGAAGAGTCCACCAAAACAACACTCTTCATCTAGAATATTGGGGCTCTTGGGCCACCAGCTGTGGGAGTAGGGCGTCTCATCTTGGGCCACCAGCTGTGGGAGCTGGGCGTCTCATCTTGGGCCACCAGCTGTGGGAGTGGGGCATCTCATCTTGGGCCACCAGCTGTGGGAGTGGGGCGTCTCATCTTGGGCCACCAGCTGTGGGAGCAGGGCGTCCCATCTTGGGCTACCAGCTGTGGAAGCGGGGCGTATCATCTTGGGCCACCAGTTGTGGGAGTTAGGCGTCTCATCTTGGGCCACCAGCTGTGGGAGTGGTGCGTCTCATCTTGGGCTACCAGCTGTGGGAGCGGGGCGTCTCATCTTGGGCTACCAGCTGTGGGACTAGGGCGGCTCATTTGGGGCCACCAGCTGTGGGAGTGGGGCGTCTCATCTTGGGCTACCAGCTGTGGGAGCGGGGCATGTCATTTTGGGCCACAAGCTGTGGGAGTGAGGCGTCTCATCTTGGGCCACCAGCTGTGGGAGCGGGGAGTCTCATTTTGGCCCACCAGTTGTGTGAGTGGGGCGTCTCATCTCGGGCCACCAGCTGTGGGAGTGGGGCGTCTCATCTTGGGCCATCAGCTGTGGGAGTGGGGCGTCTCATCTTGGGCCATCAGCTGTTAGAGTGGTGCGTTTCATCTTGGGCCACCAGCTGTGGGAGTGGGGCGTCTTATCTTGGGCCATCAGCTGTTAGAGTGTTGCGTTTCATCTTGGGCCACCAGCTGTGGGAGCAGGGCGTCTCATCTTGGGCCACCAGCTGTGGGAGCGGGACGTCTCATCTTGGGCCACCAGCTGTGGGAGTGGGGGCGTCTCATCTTAGGCCACCAGCTGTGGGAGTGGGGCATCTCATCTTGGGCCACCAGCTGTGGGAGTGGGGCGTCTCATCTTGGGCCACCAGCTGTGGGAGCAGGGCGTCCCATCTTGGGCTACCAGCTGTGGAAGCGGGGCGTCTCATCTTGGGCCACCAGTTGTGGGAGTTAGGCGTCTCATCTTGGGCCACCAGCTGTGGGAGCGGGACGTCTCATCTTGGGCCACCAGCTGTGGGAGTGGGGCGTCTCATCTTGGGCCACCAGCTGTGGGAGTGGGGCATCTCATCTTGGGCTACCAGCTGTGGGACTAGGGCGGCTCATTTGGGGCCACCAGCTGTGGGAGTGGGGCGTCTCATCTTGGGCTTCCAGCTGTGGGAGCGGGGCGTGTCATTTTGGGCCACAAGCTGTGGAAGTGAGGCGTCTCATCTTGGGCCTCCAGCTGTGTGAGCGGGGAGTCTCATTTTGGGCCACCAGTTGTGTGAGCGGGGCGTCTCATCTTGGGCCACCAGCTGTGGGAGTGGGGCGTCTCATCTTGGGCCATCAGCTGTTAGAGTGGTGCGTTTCATCTTGGGCCACCAGCTGTGGGAGCAGGGCGTCTCATCTTGGGCCACCAGCTGTGGGAGCGGGACGTCTCATCTTGGGCCACCAGCTGTGGGATTGGGGCATTTCATCATGGGCCACCATCTTTGGGAGTGGGGCGTCTCATCCTGGGCCACCAGCTGTGGGAGTGGGGCTTCTCATCTTGGGCCACCAGCTGTGGGAGTGGGGCATTTCATCATGGGCCACCATCTTTGGGAGTGGGGCGTCTCATCCTGGGCCACCAGCTGTGGGAGTGGGGCTTCTCATCTTGGGCCACCAGCTGTGGGAGTGGGGCTTCTCATCTTGGGCCACCAGCTTTGGGAGTGGGGCGTCTCATCTTGGGCCACCAGCTGTGGGAGCGGGGCGTCTCATCTTGGGCCACCAGCTGTAGGAGTGGGGCTTCTCATCTTGGGCCACCAGCTGTGGGAGTGGGGCTTCTCATCTTGGGCCACCAGCTTTGGGAGTGGGGCGTCTCATCTTGGGCCACCAGCTGTGGGAGCGGGGCGTCTCATCTTGCGCCACCAGCTGTAGGAGTGGGGCATTTCATCATGGGCCACCATCTTTGGGAGTGGGGCGTCTCATCTTGGGCTACCAGCTGTGGGAGCGGGTCGTGTCATTTTGGGCCACAAGCTGTGGGAGTGAGGCGTCTCATCTTGGGCCACCAGCTGTGGGAGCGGGGAGTCTCATTTTGGCCCACCAGTTGTGTGAGTGGGGCGTCTCATCCTGGGCCACCAGCTGTGGGAGTTGGGCGGTTCATCTTGGGCCACCAGCTGTGGGAGCGCGGTGTCTCATCTTGGGCCACCAGCTGTGGGAGTGGAGTGTCTCATCTTGGGCCATCAGCTGTGGGAGTGAGGCGTCTAATTTTGGGCCACCAGCTGTGGGAGTGGGGCGTTTCATCTTGGGACACCAGCTGTGGGAGTGGGGCGTCTCCTCTTGGGCCACCAGCTGTGGGAGCGGGACGTCTCATCTTGGGCCACCAGCTGTGGGATTGGGGCATTTCATCATGGGCCACCATCTTTGGGAGTGGGGCGTCTCATCCTGGACCATCAGCTGTGGGAGTGGGGCTTCTCATCTTGGGCCACCAGCTGTGGGAGTGGGGCTTCTCATCTTGGGCCACCAGCTTTGGGAGTGGGGCGTCTCATCTTGGGCCACTAGCTGTGGGAGCGGGGCGTCTCATCTTGGGCCACCAGCAGTAGGAGTGGGGCTTTTCATCTTTGGCCACCAGCTGTAGGAGTGGGGCTTCTCATCTTGGGCCACCAGCTTTGGGAGTGGGGCGTCTCATCTTGGGCCACCAGCTGTGGGAGCAGGGCGTCTCATCTTGGGCCATCAGCTGTGGGAGCGGGGCGTCTCATCTTGGTCCACCAGCTGTGGGAGTGGGGCGTCTCCTCTTGGGCCACCAGCTGTTGGAGTTGGGCGGTTCATCTTGGGCCACCAGCTGTGGGAGCGCGGTGTCTCATCTTGGGCCACCAGCTGTGGGAGTGGAGTGTCTCATCTTGGGCCATCAGCTGTGGGAGTGAGGCGTCTAATTTTGGGCCACCAGCTGTGGGAGTGGGGCGTTTCATCTTGGGCCACCAGCTGTGGGAGTGGGGCGTTTCATCTTGGGACACCAGCTGTGGGAGTGGGGCGTCTCATCTTGGAGTAATCTTTCTAACAATGGGTCCTCTAACATTAGGATGGTGTTCCACACCCGGATGTCTTGGTGCTGCAGTCTGATGGCTGTATGTTCAGTAGTTCATGGAGTTCCTGGACTGTCTGATCATATGGTGGACGGTGTTTTGCTGCTCTCCTTAGTGCCTTATACCGCACTGCTCTTAGCTGTTGCATGTTAGTTTTCTTTAAGGTGTTTAGTGGTACTGAGGAATATTCTAGATTCTTTAATTGGATAGGGTTATGTTGTCCGGAGGGGAGGGGGTGCCTGAGGGAGGGACGGGGAGGGGTACCTGAGGAAGGGACAGGGCGGGGTGCCTGTGGGAGAGACGAAGGGGGGGGGGGTGATGGGGAAGCCAGGGGACGTGGGGGGAGGGGGAACTCGTTTCCTCCGGACAAGGTGAGGGAGAAGAGGCAGCTCCCACAGTCACTCGCTCACCGGCTGCCAGCCAGCCTGGACGTCTCGTTGCCTGTTGCCATGGCGTCCTACCACTGTCCCCGCCTCCTCTGTGTCCTCGCTCTCACCGCTGCTCTCACTCACGGGTCAGTAAACTCTCCTTCAAACACCCTTAACGTTACTAGTTTACATTATTCACCTTATTTGATTTTGAAGAAACATTTGGAAAATTTGTGTAATTATGACAAATAGGAGGAGCTCCTATATTGTTCTCCCCATGTACCTGTCCTGTCAGTGACAGTGGTAGGCGGAGCTCCTATATTGTTTCCCCATGATAGTGGAACATAGTTCAGGAACTGAACTCCAATATCCATTTAACTAAGAACTGTTGTCAGCAGGCCTAGTGTGGCCGTTCCTTTAGCGTAGTGGTTTTCGTCCTCGACTCAGTATCAGGGAATCTGTGGTTCGATCCCCAGACGGATCAGAAATGGTTGGGCACCTGTTCATGTAGTATTAAATAGGTATTTAGGAGTTAAGTAACTGTTGTGGGCAGTCTGTAACGAGTCGAACCTTCCTGTCCAGGGCGCTACCACTGAGCCACTTGTTCTTAGTCAGTATTAATCCACTTTGTTTCCAAGTTCAATTTTTCCTCAAATATAAATTGTTACTTGATATATGTATGTATACATTATATGTATATATATCGTCATACGATATATATCTGTAGTTATATGTTTAAGTTTTGTCGGTAACTATTTGTAGTTCCAGCGAGTCAACTATTTATAAAGGTGCAATGTGACCATAGACAAAATAATATAGTGTTGGAGAAAACTTGTGAGTTACATCAGTTGCGGGACGCATGTAAAACATTGTCATTCATAAACAAGATGTTTCGCGGCTGAACTAACGAGCAATTGGCCATTGTTTGTGGGTGGACGGCTCCTGGGGGTCCGTGCCGGTAAACAATGGCCCACGTGTGTCTTCACCCAGCTGGTACACCAGTCTGGAGATGAACACCTTCCCGCACCACCACCCACCAACCTCCAACTCTTCTCCAGCACCGACTCATCACATGGTTCATCACAAGACTCATCACATGATTCATCACAAGACTCATCACGTGATTCATCACGGGAATCATCACGTGATTAATCACGGGAATCATCACGTGATTTATCACTGGACTCATCACGTGATTCATCACGGGATTTATCACAGGATTCATCACAAGGCTCATCACGTGATTCATCATGAGACTCATCATGGGATTCATCCCAAGACTCATCACGTGATTTATCACGGGACACATCACATGATTCATCACAAGACTCATCACGTGATTTATCACGGGATTCATCACAAGACTCATCACATGATTCATCACAAGACTCATCACGAGATTCATCACAAGACTCATCACGTAATTTATCACGGGACTCATCACGTGATTCATCACGGGATTCATCACAAGGATCTTCACATGATTTATCACGTGACTCATCACGTGATTCATCATAAGACTCATCACGGGATTCACCCCGGGACTCATCACATGATTCATCACGAGAATCATCACGTGATTTATCACGGGACTCATCACGTGATTCATCACGGGACTCATCATGTGATTCATCACTAGACTCATCGCGTGTTTCTATACAAGACTCATCACGTGATTCATCACAGTACTCATCGACTGATTCATCATGAGAATCTTCACGTGATTCAGCACGGTATTCATCATGTGATTCATCACGGGATTCATCACATGATTCATCATAAGACTCATAATGTGATTCATCACGAGACTCATCACATGATTCATCATAAGACTCATAATGTGATTCATCACGAGACTCATCACGTGACTCATCACATGAATCATCACGGGATTCAACACAAGACTCATCACGTGATTCATCATGAGACTCATCACGGGATTCATCACAGGAATCATCACATGATTTATCACAGGACTCATCACGTGAATTATCACAAGACTCATCACGTGATTTATCACGGGACTCATCACAAGACTTATCACTGGACTCGTCACGTGATTCATGACGGGACTCATCACGTGATTCATCATGGGACTCATCACGTGATTCATCACGGGATTCATTACGTTATCTGTTCGAATCCCACGTGTGTAAATGCTTCGCTCACGAAATATACTATTAATTGGGCACTGAATCTAAACAATTAAACTAACCAAACTTAGTCTAGGCCTAACTATACACAATTATATTTAAAGTTAAAAATTATCTTTATAAGTTAATATATATATATATATATATATATATATATATATATATATATATATATATATATATATATATATATATATATATATATATATATATATATATATATATATATATATATATATATATATATATATATATATATTCATATATTAGTATATTTTGGTAGCAGTCTTTCCTGTAGACATATATTATTAAATATGACCGAAAAAGTAAGATTAATAATTCTAACACGAATTTTCTCAATCTTTCGTACATTATGCTTCACTGTTGGAGGTAAATCAAAAATCACTTCTCCAAAATTCATTTTTATTTCTAGTCTGACGTGACACGGGCGCGTTTCGTAAAACTTATTACATTTTCAAAGACTTCACAAATACACAACTGATTAGAACTTGCGTTTCCCTGATTTTATATCTACATTTGAGTGAGGTGGGAAGGGTGATGTGGCATTACATTTGAGTGAGGTGGGAAGGATGATGTGGCATTAACACAAGACAGAACACTAGAGGATATTAATAGGGTATTAAAAGTATCAACACAAGACAGAACAGAAACAATGGGTATTGAATAGAAGTGTTTGTAGAAAGCCTATTGGTCCATATTTCTTGATGCTTCTATATTGGAGCGGAGTCTTGAGGTGGGTAGAATATAGTTGTGCAATAATTGGCTGTTGATTGCTGGTGTTGACTTCTTGATGTGTAGTGCCTCGCAAACGTCAAGCCGCCTGCTATCGCTGTATCTATCGATGATTTCTGTGTTGTTTACTAGGATTTCTCTGGCGATGGTTTGGTTATGGGAAGAGATTATATGTTCCTTAATGAAGCCCTGTTGTTTATGCATCGTTAAACGCCTAGAAAGAGATGTTGTTGTCTTGCCTATATACTGGGTTTTTTGGAGCTTACAGTCCCCAAGTGGGCATTTGAAGGCATAGACGACGTTAGTCTCTTTTAAAGCGTTCTGTTTCGTGTCTGGAGAGTTTCTCATGAGTAGGCTGGCAGTTTTTCTGGTTTTATAGTAAATCGTCAGTTGTATCCTCTGATTTTTGTCTGTAGGGATAACGTTTCTATTAACAATATCTTTCAGGACCCTTTCCTCTGTTTTATGAGCTGTGGAAAAGAAGTTCCTGTAAAATAGTCTAATAGGGGGGTATAGGTGTTGTGTTAGTTGTCTCTTCGGAGGTTGCATGGCTTTTCACTTTCCTTCTTATGATGTCTTCGATGAAACCATTGGAGAAGCCGTTATTGACTAGAACCTGCCTTACCCTACAGAGTTCTTCGTCGACTTGCTTCCATTCTGAGCTGTGGCTGAGAGCACGGTCGACGTATGCGTTAACAACACTCCTCTTGTACCTGTCAGGGCAGTCGCTGTTGGCATTTAGGCACATTCCTATGTTTGTTTCCTTTGTGTAGACTGCAGTGTGGAAACCTCCGCCCTTTTCCATGACTGTTACGTCTAGAAAAGGCAGCTTCCCATCCTTTTCCGTCTCGTAAGTGAAACGCAGCACGGAACTCTGCTCAAATGCCTCCTTCAGCTCCTGCAGATGTCTGACATCAGGTACCTGTGTAAAAATGTCGTCAACATACCTGCAGCATATGGCCGGTTTCAAGTTCATGTCGACTAAGACTTTTTGCTCGATGGTACCCATGTAGAAGTTTGCAAACAGGACACCTAGGGGAGAACCCATGGCGACCCCATCTACTTGCTTATACATGTGCCCATCCGGGCTCAAGAAGGGTGCCTCTTTAGTACAAGCTTGGAGTAGTTTCCTCAGAATACTTTCTGGCATGTCAAGAGGAGTACAGGCTGGATCACGATACACTCTGTCGGCTATCATTCCGATTGTCTCGTCCACAGGTACGTTGGTAAACAGCGATTCTACGTCCAACGAGGCTCTTATCCCTGTGGCCCGTGCGCCCCGCAGTAAGTCCACAAATTCCTTTGGAGACTTCAGGCTGAAGGCGCAAGGAACATAAGGAGTCAGCAGGCCGTTGAGTCGCTTCGCCAATCTGTACGTGGGTGTGGGTATCTGGCTAATGATTGGCCGAAGTGGGTTTCCAGGCTTGTGCGTCTTGACATTTCCATACGCATATCCAGGTTTATATTCCCCAATGATCTTTGGCAGGTGGAGTCCGGATTTCTTGGCGTTCACAGTTTCGATCAGTTTGTTGACCTTTGCTTTTAATTCGGCTGTAGTGTCCTTCGTTACCCTTTGGAACTTAGTTTGGTCAGAGAGTATGATGTTCATTTTCGCCAGATATTCGTCTTTTTTAAGAATGACATATATTGGCGACTTGTCACCGGCTTCTCCAATGGTTTCATCGAAGACATCATAAGAAGGAAAGTGAAAAGCCATGCAACCTCCGAAGAGACAACTAACACAACACCTATACCCCCTATTAGACTATTTTACAGGAACTTCTTTTCCACAGCTCATAAAACAGAGGAAAGGGTCATGAAAGATATTGTTAATAGAAACGTTATCCCTACAGACAAAAATCAGAGGATACAACTGACGATTTACTATAAAACCAGAAAAACGGCCAGCCTACTCATGAGAAACTCTCCAGACACGAAACAGAACGCTTTAAAAGAGACTAACGTCGTCTATGCCTTCAAATGCCCACTTGGGGACTGTAAGCTCCAAAAAACCGAGTATATAGGCAAGACAACAACATCTCTTTCTAGGCGTTTAACGATGCATAAACAACAGGGCTCCATTAAGGAACATATAATCTCTTCCCATAACCAAACCATCGCCAGAGAAATCCTAGTAAACAACACAGAAATCATCGATAGATATAGCGATAGCAGGCGGCTTGACGTTTGCGAGGCACTACACATCAAGAAGTCAACACCAGCAATCAACAGCCAATTATTGCACAACTATATTCTACCCACCTCAAGACTCCGCTCCAATATAGAAGCATCAAGAAATATGGACCAATAGGCTTTCTACAAACACTTCTATTCAATACCCATTGTTTCTGTTCTGTCTTGTGTTGATACTTTTAATACCCTATTAATATCCTCTAGTGTTCTGTCTTGTGTTAATGCCACATCATCCTTCCCACCTCACTCAAATGTAATGCCACATCACCCTTCCCACCTCACTCAAATGTAGATATAAAATCAGGGAAACGCAAGTTCTAATCAGTTGTGTATTTGTGAAGTCTTTGAAAATGTAATAAGTTTTACGAAACGCGCCCGTGTCGCGTCAGACTAGAAATAAAAATGAATTTTGGAGAAGTGATTTTTGATTTACCTCCAACAGTGAAGCATAATGTACGAAAGATTGAGAAAATTCGTGTTAGAATTATTAATCTTACTTTTTCGGTCATATTTAATAATATATTCATTCATATATATATATATATATATATATATATATATATATATATATATATATATATATATATATATATATATATATATATATATATATATATATATATTTATATAACAACAATTGGTATTGAACACCTCTGTACCTCCTCTGTAATGAGGAAGTACCTCCTGGAGTTTGTAACATCTGTAGATTTGACTAAATGTAAACTCTGTCAGCAGAATTATTTGCTAACTTTGCGTCATTAAATAATGGAATGTGAAAAAAATCGCGGAATTCAGATATAACACCATCAATGGTGTCCAAGAAATGTTTAAGTACTTCATTCATAATGATGTGCTGCCAGAAATCCTAGCGAAGTCTCCAAAGATTGCTTACTGTAGGTGCAGCCTGCACATGACTGTAGAGCTGCCGTCCAGTTGGGTGGGTGTAGAGCACTTGACTGTAAAGCTGCCGCCCAGTTGGGTGGGTGTGGAGCACATGACTGTAAAGCTGCCGCCCAGTTGGGTGGGTGTGGAGCACATGACTATAAAGCTGCCGCCCAGTTGGGTGGGTGTGGAGCACATGACTGTAAAGCTGCCGCTCAGTTGGGTGGGTGTGGAGCACGTGACTGTAAAGCTGCCGCCCAGTTGGGTGGGTGTGTAGCACATGACTGTAAAGCTGCCGCCCAGTTGGGTGGGTGTGGAGCACGTGACTGTAAAGCTGCCGCCCAGTTGGGTGGGTGTGGAGCACATGACTGTAAAGCTGCCGCCCAGTTGGGTGGGTGTGGAGCACGTGACTGTAAAGCTGCCGCCCAGTTGGGTGGGTGTGGAGCATATGACTGTAAAGCTGCCGCCCAGTTGGGTGGGTGTAGAGCACGTGACTGTAAAGCTGCCGCCCAGTTGGGTGGGTGTGGTGCACATGACTGTAAAGCTGCCGCTCAGTTGGGTGGGTGTGGAGCACGTGACTGTAAAGCTGCCGCCCAGTTGGGTGGGTATGGAGCACATGACTGTAAAGCTGCCGCTCAGTTGGGTGGGTGTGGAGCACGTGACTGTAAAGCTGCCGCCCAGTTGGGTGGGTGTGGAGCACATGTCTGTAAAGCTGCCGCCCAGTTGGGTGGGTGTGGAGCACATGACTATAAAGCTGCCGCCCAGTTGGGTGGGTGTGGAGCACATGACTGTAAAGCTGCCGCTCAGTTGGGTGGGTGTGGAGCACGTGACTGTAAAGCTGCCGCCCAGTTGGGTGGGTGTGGAGCACATGACTGTAAAGCTGCCGCCCAGTTGGGTGGGTGTGGAGCACGTGACTGTAAAGCTGCCGCCCAGTTGGGTGGGTGTGGAGCACATGACTGTAAAGCTGCCGCCCAGTTGGGTGGGTGTGGAGCACGTGACTGTAAAGCTGCCGCCCAGTTGGGTGGGTGTGGAGCATATGACTGTAAAGCTGCCGCCCAGTTGGGTGGGTGTAGAGCACGTGACTGTAAAGCTGCCGCCCAGTTGGGTGGGTGTGG